ATGCACTTGTATAATCTGCTCTCCCAATAATGATAATGTACGAAGTATCATTGTTAAGTTATTATGTATACCTACATATATCGCATATACATATATTAATTCAAGCTTTTAGTGCTCTATCTTGCACGATATATTCATATTAACTTACTAATAGCAATTATAATCTTTAAATATTTAAGTATTCACTATATACAGTACTCAAATTATTTTTAGTTGGCTTCTGTTTAATATTCTTACATATCCGCAGTTTATTTTTTTAAAAATCCTGTACCGTATCTATTTTTTTTTTTAAAAAAAAAATGTTGTATCAATCAACTGTTAATACTTTAAGGCCTGTTTACAATTTGGTTAAATTAGAATTAGATGATTATGAAGAAAATGAACTAGTTCTTGATACTATTCATGATTTAAAATTATTTTTTGAGAATTCTAATAATTGTACTTGCCGTCGAACTTCAAAGCAAAGAGATCTTAGAACTTGCTTTGAAAAAGTAGGATTTAAATGTTTTTTTGAAAGATATTTTGAGTTAAAAGCTTTAGAAGAACACGAACTTGAATTTTTTATAAAGTCGCAATTAATGTCGTTTGCAATTACTGATGAAAAATCAAATAATAAAACTTCTATAAAATACACATATAAGTTTAATTATAATAATTCTTTACCTCTTTGTAAGCCAACATATTTAAAATTATGTAGAATTAATGGTTACTTACTTTTTACTTTACAAAGCTATTTACAATTAAAGGGTTAACTGAACGTGTTCATAGAAATACAGAACATGCATCTAAAACAGAATCGAGAGTTTTTTTAGATTTTAATATAACATTTTCAATTAAGCAGTTTTTAATACAATATGGGACAATTTATGGATTTTCTTCTCCATTACGGCATCAAGACGATTCTGGCGTTTTTATTTATTTTCCAACCAGTCGGACCTATGTCTCAGTTTATAATGAATTTAAAGAAAGTTTTTATCTTACTCATAACCAATCAGAAAAAATAGTTTCTTATTTTACTTTTAGGAAATTATAGCACAAAATGATTCCAAATCTTTGATGTCAGCCACATGCAAGTGATCTATGTGAAGTTTGTACATCTTTTAAGGCTAAATTATTAGTTGCAAAACAAGATATTAACAAATATAGTAAAGTTCAAGTTGAATATGACGAACATAAAAAAGCTGCAGATCTTGAAAGACAATATTATAATAATAATGTTGAAGAAAGTAAAAATAATTTAGATATTGATATATTTGTTATGATTGGGCCAAAGTATCTCTATACCATATTCGCCACAACAAGTAGGTTCGCTTTATTTTAAATCTACTTTTTCTGTGAATATTTTTGGCGTTTGTAAAACTGGCAGGCAAAATTATTAACTGAATTTTTTAATTGGTGAAAATGAACTTTCTAAGGGGGTTTCAAAGGGTGCTAATACTACATTAAATATGGTTTATAGTTTTTTTCAAAAAATAAATTCTAAAAAAGCAAAAAATTAAGGGTTACTTGCGATAACTGTAGCAGGCAAAACAAGAATAATTTATCACTTTGGTTTTGGTTATGGTTATATTCATTAAATTGGTATGAGGAAATTATCATTAATTTTATATTGCCTGGTCACACAAAATTTATTTGCGACTCATTTTTTGGACAAATTAAAAAGGTTTATAGAGATAATCGTGTTAATATCATCAATGATATTGAAAATATTATAATTAGTTCATCAAAAGGAAATGATGCAATTCAATATAAAGATGGTAAAGGATGGGTTTGGTATGATTTTAGTTCTTTTTTTAACAATAATTTTGCACCTTTGCCAAATATAAAACAATATCAACATTTTCGATTTAATAGTTTAGAAATTGGAAAGGTTTATGCTTCAAAAAAATCAGGTGGAGAGGAAAATTCTTTTCAATTATTACGTAATAACACTTTTGATAAAAATAGTAAATTAGATACTATTTCTACTATACCATTATCGGATGATCATAAAAAATATTTATATACAAGAATTCGCCAACATATTGATGATCAATATAAAGATATTCTTTGTCCACAACCTGATATTATTTCACTTTTGGGTGTCATAAGAAATTTCAGGTAATTGATGAATCAATCATAATTACGTATAACTGTGATTGGTCATGCAACAATTAAATATCATAAAATTTGCGCTAACATTTATGTATTATAAAAGTGCATAGTATACTAGACCCGGTTTTATTTTATTCTACTGATTTTTGTTCTCTTTAGTAGATCCCAGTCTAGTACACACTCAGAAGTTATATTCTGTCCTCATTATAGCAGTCTGGCTATTTCAAACAAACCGCATTTACAAAGATTTTGTGATTCGCAGCCAGGCCTAGTTCATGGAGTCTACTATTTTATATACGCACTTTTATGATAATAAGATATAAAAAATAAAAAATAAATCCATAATTTAAGTATTGCACGATAATGAAAAAATATTAATTTTCTCATCTTTGGTTAATTTATTATAATAGGTTCTAAAGTGTCAGTATGTGCCCTATGCTAGGTACAGGCTGGGCACTATATTTTAATATAACGTGTGCCGGCACTTGCAGAACCCTACTGACCTATATATTTCATATAATTTTAACTTGCGTATTTGTATAAAAAATTAATTCATCAATATAATATTTGATTTCTAAAAATTTGTTTATTTCATTTGAACAAGATCTCAAGAATAATACTAAAAGATTCATGTGCATTACTACACAGACTACTTAAAATAAAGCCCAATTTATTCTTTAATATTGATTAATCTATTCAATAGAATTGGCTTAATGCTTTCTACATGTAAGATTTTAGACTGAAATTCTCTGCACAGTCATTTATTTCTGCTTGATTAATATAAAATTGTACTATTAGTTAGATTGATGAATACCTGCAATTACATAAACTTAGAGTAAAAATAATAAATAACGCAATAACCAAGATAAAAATTGTAAAAGTAGTTTAATAGTTTGTTTTGTGCTTAAATTTTTAAGTAAAACTTATAAAGAACCTACCTTCATATGGTGATGATAGTAAGTAAAACAGTTCGACTTTTAACTAAATTTAAAAAATTTAAAGTGTGATAAATAAAATTAATATACGTACAAATAATCAGTAATTTAATAAAATCTGAGAAAGCAAGCATCTGCAATTTGATGTTTGATAGTTATTTAAATTTATATATTGCAAAAGCTACTTTGCTTTAAAAAGTAAAATTTATCTTCACTTTCTAATTAAAATTCACAATTTTGATTGGTTGATCTATACCCAGCCACAAAGATCGACGATCAGCATATCTAAAATTAGCAGCAAATCAAATTTGGGTTGTTTTGGTTACACAATATTTAATCTCTGTTTACTCAAAAAAAATTACTAGTGCCGTAACATTATTTTCAAGCCAAAAACCCCATATATTGATAATGGTGGTGATACCAGGAAAGATGTGATAGAAGATTGTTGATTAATGATCATGTTTTGATTAGCCAATCAGTTTGACTAGGTTCCTAATTACGTAGCTCACACCCTGATTATCACGTTAATAAAAATAGATGATTATAACAATTTTTACATTTACCATCCCTTCGATATTGAACATGTCTAGCTCTGATATTGTATTTATAACTCCTAACCCTAACCCTTAGTGACAAAGGCTGTCCTTACTGGTTTTTCAGAATTTGGATCTAACTATCTAACTAGACAAGCAGATACTCTAGTGAAGATGTAATTCAGTTAAACTGAATTAAATTCCTTGTATTCTATATTAACCACCTGACTAGATGAGCAGGTGCTCTGATATAGATATAAATCTAGTATTTGATGTTAATCACCCAACTAGATAAGCATATGCTCTGGCAAAGATATAAATCTGAAGATTTAATTTAAGGCTTCACCTTTGTACAGAAAACTAATTTTTTTGCTACTGAGATCTTTAGGATCGAGTTTCTTTCAGAATAAATACTAGAAAATAGTGGTAGATACAACAATCAAGTACTAGATATAGTAGAAAAATTTATGGGTTTATAGATAGTACTCTCCTTTCATCTAATCTAGTATTTTTTTATATCTTTTTTCCTAGTCAATTGCTGATACCTCAACGTGGTGATCAGGTAAACAAATTTTATCAAAAATTCAGCCAAGATTAGCTTAAAAAATTTATTATAAAATGTTTAAGATAAGTTTTTTTTTAATTTTTAATTTTTAGTTTTTTTTTTTAAAAGTATAATATTAACCAGTTTTTCATCTTTCTTATAGTTACTTATCACTCATTATTCAGAATTAAAAAAAAAAGAATTCAACTAACCAATCGGATTTTTGAAATCCTGTAATACAAAATGAAAAACTAACTTTGTGTAGCTTAATTATTTTATTTTTCCAAACTACAATATATGATGTCCCAGTCTCCACTTCAGAACGAACATGATTTATAATATTACGAGACCGAAGTACTGCTATATCTTTAACTAATGGCACAGTAAACTTACAAGGTATAATCCATGTGCTTTGAATGCTTTTATGGAAGTTAAACATTTTTCATATGTTGGTAAAAATCATACTAACTAGTAATTTTGTATTTGACATTGTGTTTGTTATAAGTAGGTTTTTAAGAAATATACCAAGAATTTTAATAAGTTTACGGCGCAAATAATAGGTTGCCGAATCAAATGTATATTTAATATATTACATATATTGTGATTATAAAGTGACTCTAAATATGGAAAATGTACTCATTGTAATGAATATAATACAAATAAAGCATGGTGTCTGTTATGTGACCCTGACAGAAATAACAAGGTGAAATAAGGATATTGATGATTGTATTAAAAAGTTCCAACTTAGAGCCGATGAATATAAAAATACAATCGAATAGATTTCATTTGATAGATTATTTGATGTTAAAAAAATTGGCAAAGAAGGATTTGGCTCTGTATATTAGCAACCTGGTTGGATGATGTTTGAAAAATTGAGAAAAATAAAATTGATGATGACAACTATTCCTATAGAAGATCATGTAAAGCATCCAGCATCGTTGACTCAAGACTTTTCCTGATTCTTTAAAAGAAGTAAATTAAATCTATTTATTCAATAATTTATTAAATAAAGAATAAACTAATTTATTTTATTTGATTTATTTACTTAACTGTTAATTATAAGTTTGAGAATCATATAACATGTGACTTATAGGTAGTAAACTTAAAATATACGAATTAACTCAAAAAAATAAAAATAAATATTAGATGATATTTCAATATGCTGATAATGGATATCTTTGCAAGTTTTTAGAAAAAATTTTTGTGTTCTTACTAGTGTTCCACATGATTCGGACCGGGCAGATATTTTTAAAGATCCGTACCTGGTCCAAACATCGATTCGGATCTAAAGTTAGAGTCCGAACTTGTAGCACTTAAATCCAGGTCCCATCCGGATCTGTGAAATTTCAAATACTATAGTTGATGAAGACCTAGTATCCTTGCTAAAAAAAAAAAAAAAAAAAAAAAAAAATTGATTACAGCTGTTTTTTATAAATTCTGAGACACTTGATAACAATTAGCTGAATGATTTTTTGTTAACCAGTGGCAAAACCACAGGAAGGTTGTAAAAATTTTTATAAATAAATTAATACTGTAAAAAATATATTTAAATATATTTAAACTAATAAATAAATAAATTATATATTTACGAATTAATTTAGTAAATATGGGATCTTTGCTAGAAAAATGACCCTCTGAGGCAATATTGATTTTGTGAATAAAAATTAAAAAATTAAATATACCAGCTATTTAGTCATCCAATTTGAATAACCTTTTTTTATTTTGTAGAGCTCATTTAGTTCTATAAAATAAATCTTATTCACAAGCTGCAAAAGGTCATTTTTCTAGCAAAGATCCCATATATAATAATAAATTAAATTTCTATTTATGAAACAGCTGTAAAAAAAAAAAGAAAATTCTAAAATCAGCCAATCAGCAATCAGTATTATTCTAATAAGACCAGACCGGGTATTACTCGAGCGGATCTTAATATGGGTCTGAACCCATATCGATTCTAATAAATCAAGTGTCTGAACTCGGTCTGTCAACAGACCAGACCGGACCCAGATCTTTTGCAGAACACTAGTTTTTACCTGGCAAACTAAATTAAAACTACTTAAAGATATTCTATGGGACTTACGTATAATTCATTTTGCAGATTATGTTCATGCAGATTTTCATAGTAGTAATATTTTACAAGATAAAAGCATTAGTGAAATATGCAATCATATATCTCAGATCTAGGATTGTCCAAAAAAGTAGACGAAAATAATTCAGACAATATTTATGGAATTATTCCTTATGTAGCACCAGAGGTTTTATTGGGTCAAAAGCTTACAAAAGCTTTGATATTTACAGCTTCAAAATCATCATGTCAGAAATGTTGACTGGACAAAGACCTTTTAATGGAGATGAATTCGATATAATACTTGCTATAAAGATTTGCAAGGATTGCATTCTGAATTTGTACCTGAAACTCCCAACTGCTATGTTGAACTGACGAAGAAATGTATAGATTCTAATCCAAAAAAACAGCCTAAAACTTACGATCTTTATGAAAAAATTGAAGATTGGCTTAAGAAATTAGATAGTTTAGATAATAATAAAATTAAAAAACAATTCTCAGATGCTGATAAAGTTATTAAAATATTGCTAATACCAAAACATTCTGATGAAATGTACACTAGCAAACTTATTAGTACAAATTTAATTTCAAATGAGATTAAAAGCATTTACCATATTTATTTTCAACTAATATATTAATCGAATTATATATATTTATTTAAAATAATAATTTTTTTTATTTAGATTTGTCGCAATGGGATTTTGCTCAAATTGAGTTTGATATTACTAAATCTTAAATACTTTGGTATGTATACAAATAATAAATTTATATTATAATATGTAAACAGTAATAATTTTATTTATATTTTTAAATAGATAATCATGATTAATATGCTTAATAGAATTTA